TTCAAATATCTTGTTAATGTAGCTGTTTTTGAAACAATGTAGTTGGAGCTTGAGTATTGTTGTGTGAGATTAGTGAACCGCCGAAGTGGGAAGAAGATGCAAAGGATTTGGGTTCACGGAAAATTTCAGAAACCCACACTTGAATGAACAACGCTGTTTAGGTAATGTTCTAAACTAGTATTACATTAGTATTTACTGTTAAGAATTTACTGTTAAGACATACTCTGTGTTTATGAGAATGACACTTATGTTTGTTGACCCTTCTATAATTTTACATTTAGTTCAAAGGATTCTAGCATATCTTCTTTTGTGCTTTTTAAGCATAATTTTCCCTATTAGTATTTTCGTACATGAGCCTTTTGTGCTTGAAATATTTATTAACCCCTTTTGTTACCTAATAGAAATTTTGAATAAAAATGATGTTTTTTAACAGTAAAAGCATAGTTTTCTGGGTATGGTATACGGTAAAGCTAACTTTTTTTATTAATGTTATCATGCTATCAAAAATATGTAAATAAATAAACAAATCATGTTACTTGATTAAAGCTTCCATTAAAATGGACAACTAAAGCATTATGCTTTCTAAAATGAGTAAAATAGATGAGCTTAATCTTCTTAATCCAATTAATTTAATGATTAGCTTAAAGGTGTATCAAAATACCAAAATATCAATTAATTCAAATTTCATTAACTATTGATGATAGTGGGGAATAGTTGCTTGGTAACTGAAAAATATAAGTCATATGAAAATATTCAAAAAGATGGGTGAAAAATATTGTGGAATATGTATATTTTCATAAAACATAGTGTCTATATGCTAAAATCCCTATTTAGTTAATCTTGTTGTATTTTCTTAAAGGCTCCATGTTCCGTCGTCTGAAAGAAAGTAGTATGTCTAATTTCTATGTTAAATGTAGAATATATAAATATTTATGGTGATGCTTGATGCATGGGATACTGAAGCGTGGTTCTATTTTGTTCTTTAGCTTCTTTTATGCCTTAGGAATGTAATTCTCTGCAGCACCTTTCTCCGCTATCCCTTTCATCTAAACCATTGCCACATCTCCTGACCAACTCACTTCTGTGTTTCCTAAACTACAATGATTTTCTTATGGAGAGCTCTGGACCTCTTCGCTCTGAATTCGTAGTCAGGAGTCAATGTTCGGTTAATTCATCTAATAGGTTTTTTGACTTCAAACTGTCGTCTGTAAGTGATGAATCCAATTTGAAGGTAAAAATATTAGATTGTTGATGATAACGGTTATGATTATGAAGATGCTTATAAACCACAAGAGTCTTTGTTAGCCCGATTATTTTGTGGTAGGTTTGCATGAATCTTCTTCTTCCATTGAGCTGTGCTAAGAGCTACCTCCACTGCTAAGTTCATTACTATTTTATTCTTAATTTGTTCCAACCAAGTTCTCTTATGCCTATTTTCGTCTTACTTTCCAGATCAACTATAATCTTACCACTTTTCCTTAATGGTGCATTGGTTGTCTCCATTGCACATCGTCAAACAACCTCATGTTTGCGTCGAAAATTGTTGTATTCATTGCGGTATTCATTACAACTTTAGTCGTTACAATGAAAACAAAAAGATTATCTTTTTATAAGACTTTTACATAATGAAAATAAAAAGTTACAACTCTCGTCAAAACAAACGCAAAGATCGTTTATCGGTCTTCTGCCTACGTGGGATCTTTGCCTGTGCCGGGGTTTATCCGTGGACCGCCTTAGATCTGGATCCGGTTGATGGAAAATTCGGCAGAGCTTCGCTTTCGCCGAGGAAGTATTCGATTTGAAGCGCTGAAATCGACCAAGCGAAATCAGGGCTCTTCTCGAGATTAAGACCAAGCCTAATCTCAAGGGACGGACGGACGGGGTTCAGATCCTTCGAATAGCTCCTTCTTTATGCCGAAGTTCGCCGGGATCTGATTTGCCTTCGCTGAAATTCGTGCTCCTTGACTCCTCAATCCAGCAGCACATCCACGTCTTGATAATAACTCCGCCCTTGAGAAATGAACACCCGAGCTTCGTGCTCCTTGACTCTCCAATCCAGCAGCACCTCGTCCTCTTGGTAAAATTCCAGATCTTCACCCTAGCTCCTCTGAAATTCGTGGCTCCCTTCAGATCTGATTTTATGAGGGTGCTAGGGGTGTATTTATAGGCTTTAGATGCCGTGTTTGTGGATAGGAATGCTGTGTTTGTGGATAGGATCAAAGAACAACCGTTATTATCCGTTTAGGTGGATTTTCGGTTGTGTAACAACTTCCACATGTTTAAAGATATCCCCACATGTTTATGGATGACCCCAAGGAGTTCTAGAAGCCAATCTTATCAGAAAAAACGTCGGGAGCTGACATGGGCGCGAGTCACTTCGACTGTCTCGTACATGTCCGAGACTGCTTGGACTATCTCAGGTATTTTAGTCTTAACTCTTTCATCTGACCTCCTATTAAGGTGATTCAAGATGTTTTGGAAAGATAACAAAGAGACCTACAACTTTTATGTTTTAAGATTCTTCATATTAGAACCACATAATAGCCAAAATCTTTATTTTCTCCGAGACACAGATTGTGTCTCGCTGGTGTAAAACGGCCTGAATGATCTTGGGTATTTTTAACTCTAACTCCATCATCCGATCTCAGAATGAGGTGATCTAAGATGCGTTAGAAAGATGATGAAGAGACCTACAACTTTCATGTTTTGAACTTCTTTAGATTCAAATCATAGCATGGTCTAAATGCCTCTTCTTTTTGTGGGCCACTTTGAGGTGTTCGACACTTTCTGACTTCTCCGAACTTGTATTGCGTATTTCGTCATTCCGGTGACTTGTACACTCCAATGACTCACTTTGTATATTCGCTAGCTTTCACGGGGCCAGACAATCCTTTCCTGACTTGGATGATGACGCTTATCGTCTGCATTTCGTCCCGAGCTGTGTGTAGGAACCTATAGGCATTTTTATACGCCTACAGATACCCCCTCCAAAGTATTTCACACTCATTCTTTTATAGAGGAGTCTGGAATGCTTTGGATAAGATAGGCCATCTCCTCAATTTCGTAGAGTTGGAATGCTTTGGATAAGATAGGCCATCTCCTCAATTTCGTAGAGTGACCTTAAACCACCTCAATTCTTAACTTCTTCAGCCTTCAATCTATTCATTGTTTCGTCGAATAGATGAAGTTCTTCCGGCGTTGTGTTTATCGTCTGACTGTTGTCGAAATCTTGAACTGAGATTGGTGTGTAAGTTTCTGAACTTAGCTCGTGCCATTGAGTTGTCTTTGAACTGATCATCTTCATTAGAAATTCATATCTGAATGCGATTGAACTCCCTGGAATCATCCTTTGTCTTATTTTGGCGAAATTGTTGATGTTTCGACCAGCATCGACCTTCACTGTAATGCGTTGTCCGGCGTTAACATAGTTTAAGCTCTTAAGGTATTGGAGCGTGGCGGTCCCAAATGTTGAGCTGCAGGACCAACTATTAAAGCTGACTCATCTGCACGTGTGGATCTTATCCTGAAGTTTGTTGGATGTTCAAGTCATGAGACCAACTAATAAAGCTGATACGTCAATGACTCGTATTTATAGAATTTTTGGCAAATTCTCAGCCATCAACGGGTTTGATAAGCCTTTACCGACTACCGTTTGAGTCGGGCTAGCATGCGGATTGTTTAAGTCCATTCTGCATGTAACGTTATGCTAAAAGAGTTAACTCTTTTAGTGCTACGATATTGAATACGTAGACTTCGTCTTTCTCCTGTGAAAAGACTAAACAGCGACGTGTATCAGACGTAGACTTTAAGGTTTTTGGCAAACCCTCAGCCTTCAACGGTTTTGGCGTGTCTTTACCGATTACCGTTTGAATCGGGCTCGCATGCGAATTGTTTAAGTCCGTTCCGCATGTGACGTTGTGCTAAAGGAATGAACTTCCTTAGATTTGATGCTACAATATTGAATACGTAGACTTCGCCATTGTTACGGGAATAGGCTACCCGGCAACGTGTGTTAGATGCTGACCTATCCCTACTTAGGCTTCGGGATAAAAGTCCCCAGATTGGAATTATGGTGTCTTCTTCAATCGGTGAAAGACTAAACCGGCAACGCGAGTTAGGCGTTGACTTATCCCTACTTAGGGTTCGGAATAAAATTTCCCGCGCGTGTGAGTCGCGGATTTTGGCGTTATTAATAACGGCCTGCCACAATATCGAATATGTGGGCTTTTGTCCTTTTCACGGCAAAAGACTAACCGGCAACGCGTGTTAGGCGTTGACTTATCCCTGCTTAGGATTCAGGATAAAATTCTCCAGACTGGATTTTGGTGTCTTTTTCAATCGGTGAAAGACTAAACCGGCAACGCGTGTTAGGCGTTGACTTATCCCTACTCAGGACTCGGGATAAAATTCCCCGTGCCTGTGAGGCACGGATTTTAGGAGTTGAAAAGGTGGTGTCTTCTCTTGAGACAAAGACGAACCCGAAGCGGGAGAGGAAGAATTTTATATTCTATCTCCCAAAGCTGAAGAGGAAGAATTTTATATTCCATCTCCAGTTGTAAGAGGAAACTCAAAGTGGGATCTCCACTTTAAGAATCCGGGAATGTGAAACTAAGAGTGGGATCTCCACTCCGAGAATCAAAAAGATTCGGATAACCCTAACTGTCGGAAGGTTTGATTACCGAACTAAAGATGGATTTCTCGTTTTTCGAGAGGGAATTGTGGTTTTGGTCCTAATTGTAGGAAGGTTTGACCAGGTGGGAGGTTTGAGGCGACCCTAACTGTAGGAATATTTGATCGCTCGATTTGTGGACCTCTCGTTCATTGAAGGAATCGAGAGGAGGATTTTAGTTGTGGTCTTAACTGTAGGAAGGTTTGACAAAGTGAGAGTGGGAGTGTGAGATGACCCTAATTTTTATAGGTTTGATCACTTGATTTGTGGACCTCTCGTTCATTGAAGGAATCGAGAGGGGATTTTGACTGTGGTTCTAACTGTAGGAAGGTTTGACCAAGTGGATAGTGAGAGTGGGAGTACAAATCACAGTGGGAGTATTGACTTGTACAAATCACTCAGTAGGGGTTCTTGGTGTTAAGTGATAATGACTTAGCACGAAGGGGTTTGACATTTCGTCAAGGATTGACAGATCAAAATTCTAAGCATTAT